GAACTCATGCTGAAGTGGCTTTAGCTTCTTAGTGCTGTGCTTTAACCCACTGTGCCACTAGGGAGAGCCACTAGGTTGTTTATTTGAGTTATTTCTTGTTTCTTTATGTGAGCCTGTATTGCTATATATTTTCCCCTTATAACTGCTTTTAATGTGTCCCATAAGTTTTGGAGATTTGTGTTGTCATTGTCGTTCACCAGGTATTTTTAAATTTCTTCTTTGATCCCCTCATTGATCCAATGGTCCTCCAGTAGTGTGGATTTCAGTCTCCACATGGTAGGTAGGCTTCTTGCTTTCTTCATATGGTTTATTTCTAGTTTGATTCCTTCATGGTCAGGAAAATAGTTGGTATGATTTCGATCTTAGTGTATCTTGTGATCCAGTATGTGGTCAATCCTAGAGAATGATCCATGTGGATTTGAGAAAAATGTGTACTCAGATTTTTTGGGATGCAGTATTCTATAGATATCTATAGATTAGACCCATGTTGTGTCCAGTTCCTTGTTCAGAGCTTTAGTGTTTTTGCTTATTTTTTGTCTTGTTGATTTCTCCATTGTGGAGAGTGGTGTGTTGAAGTCTCCTACTATGTATGTATTTTCTCTGATATACATGTATGTGTTTTCTGATATACGTTTTCACAGATGACAGTAGTTCCTGATTATTTTGGTGCTCCTTCACTTGGTGCATACATGTTGATGATTGTTATGTCTTTTTGTTGTACTGTCCCCTTAATCATAATGTAGTGGCCTTCCGTGTCTCTCTTAACCTTTTAAATTTGAAGTCTGTTTTATCTGATGTAAGTATAGCTGTTCCTGCCTTCTTTATTAGTACATTTGCTTGCAAGATTTTTTTGATCCTTTTATTTTCAATCTGCTTTTATCTTTTGTAGGTAGATGTGTTTCCTGCAGACAGCAGAATGATGGCTTCTGTTTTTTAATCCATCCTGCAACTCTGTGTCTTTTTTATTGATGAGTTTAAGCCATTTACATTTAGAGATAATATTGATATACTGACACCTACATTTGCCTTTTATTTTTGGTCCTTTTGTATTTATATTCCTTGTTTATTTGTTTCTTCTCTCTTGTCATTCTCATT